CGTGGTGGAACATTCCTATAGTCCCAGCTACTAAGGAGGCTGCAGCAGGAGGATTGCTGGAGCCCAGGAGTTTGAGGTTGCAGTGAGCTGTGATGACACCACTGCACCCTTGCTGGGGAGACAGAGCCAAGACCCTGACTCACAAAAAAAGTATAGTGTCTCTGCAAAAGTGAAAATAAAGAACTGGTATGTATGCTTTATTTCTAACATTTAAGTTGTAGTTGTTGCTTTAAAGCGAGCTTATAGTGGAGGGCTTGAGATGTGAATTGAATGTATAAAATCCAATAAGTCTTAAATTTGTATTAAAATTAAGTTTACTAATAGGAATGCTTGACCTTGAATCTCAGGGGAGAAATACCTCTTCTGTTTGATACCTCAGCTATATAATAGTAATTTTTATTTAAAATCTTAAAATGGAGAATGACCAAGATGTCTTATACTCTTGTCGAAAATACTTTGCTTCCGTAGTGACAGTTTGACAGCATTGTAATAGTCTTCCTCTTATAGACATGTTGCAAAGCCTCTTGCCCTCTTAGTCATGTATGACTTCCTCAGACTTCCAGTTCTTATGTTCCCTATTTCAGTGATCTTTAAAAGGATAAAAAGGTCCTTCAGTAGATAACTTCCCATTTATACTAAATTTGAAAAAGTAGCCAAATAAAAATTGGCCATAAGTGAGGTTTCTTTGGCTGTTGATCTTATAGTCTTAGTTCTAGCTTCTATGCTTTGACTAGGGCTCTTAACTTAATGTAAGCATCATGGTTGGATATTTACATGTATGACCAGCAAATAGTTTAAAAGGACAGCCGCCTTACCCTGTAATTAACACAGTTAAAAAGTACACCATGGAATTAGAAATATTTATTCAGAATATAAGAATGTTTGTAAAATATTATAAATGTCTCTGTATAAATAAATGGAGTTTTTAAAAAACAATTCTATATCAAATAACAGAGTAGCTATTTTACAGCAGCTAAAACTAAAGACATCTGGAAACATTTAAAGCATACAAGTGAAAAATCTAAAAAATTACAAGGTATAGTACAATATTAAGTAGCAACTTTAAAATGAGACTTTCAATACAAACAGTAGAACAATACTGATAAATGCAAACTTAATCACATGTGCTTTAATAACTGACAGTACATTCAAGCGGGTTTTCCTAATAATTCAAGTGGTATAAAAGTAGGACATTTTCAAATAAAAAACTTAAATCTCATGCAAAGTAAATAAGTCTTGACAATGTGTCTAAAAACTGATTAGAAATATAAAAGAAGTGAGCATGTTTCATTTCATGTTTCATTCTTTGCATTAGGTTCAAACAAAAGCAGATTATCAGGGGCTTTTACTCACTAGGCAGTCCTGACATGAGCACTATAAGTGAATACTATGAGTTCTACAAACAGAACATTTTCCACATGAATTTGATTTGCAAAAAGTGCAAAAGTGGTAGAGGCAGAACTACTCAGCCAGGTTATCAGTGTGAATGTGGGGGAATTTTGTATATAACTTATGTTGTTATGCTGAGCTGATATATCAGATTGAATAGCAAGTGAATAACTATGGAAAGATCGAGTACTAGTGAGGAATATGGTTATCCAACAGCAGTTGCTGTTTCTGGGACTGAATAATTTTTTGTCTTGGTCCCATACAAAATCTCAGATGCAATGTGATAGAAAATTTATCTAGTATAATTCGTAACCAAAAATGTAATGGTTGCATGTGAAACTGTCTTTCTCTACCCAGGTATTAGCAAGAGTACATGACCAGCTGCTAATCAGCTTTTGTACTCTTTCCCACTTGATATTTTAACACCCATGGAGTGCTCAATGATGCTGTGGTGACAGCAGTCACCATTACATTAATTGATAATTCTGTTTCCAATTCTAAAGTTAGTTCTTGGCAGCCAAAGACATATCTGTCTTAGTGAATACAAATCTATTAGACTAACTTCAAGTGTGTGAAATAGGTACTTCTGAAGGCCATAGGTCAGAGCTTGCTTTTAACCTGACCTGTATATAAACACAAGGTTTCAATTACCTAGAATAGGATTTAAATAAACTTCAAGAACTGTTTGTGTAGCAAAGGCATAATTTTTGTTTTGGAACAAGTTATGCCTCTTCTAGAAACTCTATATAGAGTTTTCAATCCTCAGTCAAAGGTGAGTCAGATGTTTTATTATTCCTTGTGAAGTAGGCTGTTCCTTTGGATAAACAGAAAAATAGTTACTATATGATTATTTTTTTCCTGGAAATTTTTATAGTGTTCAAAAAAACCTTGGCAACAGTATGGCTGCACCCTAATTAAGTTCAATGCAGAAATTTCACCCATTAGAGAATTTTCTCCTTTTGGGCTCTAAAAACTTCCTAACTATAATTCTGTTTCCTGCATCCATAAGTAGGTGAAGCTATAAATAGTTCATAGAATGAATGGAATATCCTATTTATGCGCTTGCAAATGGCTTAAAGCTTTATGGAGGAAAGGGCACTTAAATCATTAATAAAAGTTTGGGTGTTTTTCTATAGTCTTGATATCACATTTAAAACATATGTATGAGATGATAGAATTAAATAATTGCAGGATAATTTTCGTGGGTTATAGGGAGCACTTTTAGAAGGGAACAGGTAGCTGCAAATTAATTCATGCCAGTGACATAGGCAGTCTAATCTTGCTCAGGTAACTATGGGGCTTCCCCCCCCCCTTCAGTCTAATCCAGATCCAGCTAGGAACTAGAAGACTTTCAAATAGTTTCAGGTTTTTCTTAGAGGGGTAAAACCCTTACTTACCCCCTCATCCTAACACTTTTTAAGGGAAGGTGTTAGGTTGGGCTCTAGTTTGGACTGCCTTTCTGCAGTAGAATGTCGAGGTTCTGATTTAGAGTTCTCTGAGGTCTCTGTACAGTATTGCTGAGGGCTCAGAGGAAGACTTAGTAAGAAGTACATGCATCTAAAAGGAGAATTAAGCAATTATGTTTAACTGGCACTTAATTTTTTTTTATTAACCTAACATTCCAGTTTCAGGCAGCATGGACATTAACTTCGGAAACCTGACATGCCAGCAGATGAGAGTGACTATGAAGCAGGTAATTACCTCCATTGGCAATAAAATATCTAGTATACATCTGAGGCTAAACATGAGAGGGATGGTTTGATAATTTTACTGCCTACAAGTCCATGGCAGTTTTGGTAGCTGGTACCCCTGGGGTTTGGTAGAACATCAGATCCAGCTGGCAGGCTCATGCACTAATGGCACTCCAGCTATGGACAGCAGTCTCTTTGCCTAGTTGGTTTCATTTGCCTCAGCTCAGCAATGGGAAATATATTTCAAGGGAACTGAGAAATGGGTCCTTTTGCTCCATGCCCATTTCTCCAGGAGCCAAATACTAAACTCGGAACAGGGGAGGTGCGTGCACTTAGGAAACTGGAGAAAATACAAATATGAAATTCTAGGTTTTAAAAACTTCATACAAGTTAAAATCAAGATCATTGTTTACCCCCAATGGAGATGTTGATGTAAACCAGCTCCTAGTTAGAAACAATAGAGCCGGGTTATAGGAAAATTACCCAGGCACCTGCAGTCATTTATTTAATCTGTACAGTTCAGTAGTTCCCACAGTTAGCATAACCAAGTGCCTGCTGGTTCACTTTCAACAAGGATTATGTCTTGGGGAGTACTTGAAAAATGCAAGGAAAGGAAATCGACTATTTTATAGCTTTTTTATTTTACATATTTTATAGAAGTAACACTTTTGCTTGGGAAATAGTTTTCACCCAGATCACGACATATTTGAAAATATTGACGTATAAACTCACTAAGGCTAGGTAGGATGAGTAGTAACAGGAGCTGAGGCCTGTCCTGTCTTTAGGCATTTACAGGGCCTAAAAGGGTGGGTTCTCTAATTTTACTTGGAGCAAGAACGGAGGCAGAAGTCAGCACGCAGGATATTATTCCTGCTTCAGCCACAGGGTAGTACAAATGAAAACTGTCCATTTTGATACCTGTTGAATCACAAGAGAAAGCCACGCATGCCCTACTTTATTCAGGGGAGGATGTTTCCTAGACAAGCTGGGAAAATGGTGAAAACTGATTTCATCTATTACATATTTTTTTTTCTGCATATACTTTATCCAAAGAGTGAAAATTAATTTTTTTAAAAACTCACAGGAATTAACTTTGACCAAAAGATAGAAACAGAAGCCAGTTGGCTTTTTCATAGTGATCAAAGCACCCAAAAGTTGGTCCTTCGAGACTAATAGTAATTGATTTGGTGTCGTGGTGGTGATGGGCTGCCTCACTGCTGGCCTGAGAAAGAATGGTGGTTGCTTTTAGGATACAAAAAAAAACAAAAAAAAAAAAAACTGCCCTCATAGGTGGTGGCTAGAGTATCCCTCTTCATAGTACAGAGGCTATAGAATTTGTATCATGTCTCTGAAGAGACCCGCCCAAAGCTTGTGGACCTGATGACTCTACTACAGTGACCTGGTCAAAAGCAGAAACTTTAATTTGTAGTTAACCATGGCACGGGAATACATTTCTCATAGGGGTCCTTCACATGTATGAGTGTTGGACTGAAAGACAAAAAGGGTAAAACAGTGAAGGTTGCTGTAGAAAAGGAATAATGGATTTATGTTTAGATGAAAGAATTTAGGTGCTTTGGTCCTGCCTGGCCCTGTTAGCATTTTGCTTGAAATTTAACCTTGTAAGCACCATATGCTAACCATCACCATCTGGGGAACGAAAGGAGACCTTACCAACTATTCCCTCCTCACGACAGCAAGAGTTAAGTCTTCAACTTGGTGCAGTTCAGTATCACTCTTAAGTAGATGGATCAGTTTTGCAAAACATTCATTATCTCCTCCATGTCTGACAATGCACAGCCTCTCACCCGTATATAGAGACAGGTCCAGCAATACGAAGGTACTCATATGGATGAGTTTCAATTCCGCAGAACAGCAATTATGTAGTGCCCTGGGGCGGCAAGTGATAATGCTTCTCTGCTCTTGAAGAAACCCTTAATAAAATTTTATTTCCACTACACGTATCAGAAGGATTCCCGGGTCTACATCTTGGCTATTAATAAAGCTCTACCAGGAGGGAAAAAAATCCCAGAATCAAAAGAGAGCTCCCTTCTCAGCCCTGCCTCCAAAATGGAAGCTGAAGGAAGTTTTTATTCTCCAGGCACAGAATTGTTCCAGCGCAGCGCTGGTGCTGCTCTATTTGTAACTTCAGCATATCTGGAACTGTAAGTAACACCTCTGTACCATCTGCCTGTGATGTGTGACTCCCAGAGAGCACCTGTGTGTGGCAGCCTATATCTTAAGAGTTGATACATGTGTCTTGAAAACCAAAGCCTTGCTGCATTAAGCAAATCAGCAGTCCTTCCAGTTGCTGGGGGCGCACACAGACTCGAGTGTGTGCCAGTTTTCCCCTGAAGGAGGAGGAAAGAGGAGAAATTGTGGATGCCAGAAGATAAGCCCATTCTGCTAACGATAGAATGGAAAATCTTATAAACAAATGCCTGGGATCCCACAGATGCACAGCCTCTAGCCCAGAAAAGGAGGGAGAGTGAGAAATCAAGTGTGGAGAGCAGGAGCAAGGTTCTGCTGAGTAGGCACACAGCACGTTTACGTGCTGTTGTGGGTCCGGGATGGAGGAGCAGGAACTTCTGGGTACAGTCCACACAGTGGCACCAGGGCCACTTACTCCAGGAGCTGAGTCTGGGGTGCTCCATTGTCCCAAGTGCTGACCTACCTGCCAACCTTCCCTTTCCTCATTCTCCCAACAGGTACTCTGTTCCCCAGGGCCCTTCTCTCCTCTGGGGTCTGCTACAGTTTAGCTCCCATGGGCAGAACGTTGATGCCCAAGTGCCAGTTAAAGTGAAGTCTCATTGGTGTGTGGCCTGGAGTTCTCCTCCTCCAGCAGAGCTATTCTCTGCTTGAGCATCCTCACTTGGGTCTCATGTCTCTCCACCATGGCCATCATCTGCGACTCCAGCTTCTTCAGTTTGTTTTGATGCTTCTTCTTTGCTTTCTCATAGGCAGCTACCAGGTTGCTATGTGGGAGAGGAGGGAAATGAGAATGAAGATTCATCCTGAGTAGTATGGAGACACACAACTGTCCTGTCCACTGGGTTTAGCCTCTTCGGTAAGAATTTGAAATCAAGTGGCAAGAGGAAGCACAGCACCAGGATTTCAACACTCAACGGCTGCTCATCTGTTACCTTAACCACAATGAACCCAGCCTGACTGCTGGAGGCTGTCACTCTCAGAAGTAGTTCTAAGAGTCAAACCAACTATCCAAATTGGCCAAGTCCAAAATAGAGAAGAAAGTGAATTCCAGAAATCTGGTATTTAAATACAGACAGTAGGCCGGGCGTGGTGGCTCACGCCTGTAATCCTAGCTCTCTGGGAGGCCGAGGCGGGCGGATTGCTCAAGGTCAGGAGTTCGAAACCAGCCTGAGCAAGAGCGAGACCTCGTCTCTACTATAAAGAGAAAGAAATTAATTGGCCAACTAATATATATAGAAAAAATTAGCCGGGCATGGTGGCGCATGCCTGTAGTCCCAGCTACTCGGGAGGCTGAGGCAGGAGGATCGCTTGAGCCCAGGAGTTTGAGGTTGCTGTGAGCTAGGCTGACGCCACGGCACTCACTCTAGCCTGGGCAACAAGTGAGACTCTGTCTCAAAAAAAATAAATAAATAAATAAATAAATACAGACAGTAGGTCTGTTTGTTCCTCCATGGCTACTTACAACAGATGGTCAAGCGTAAGTTACAGAAGCATGTTGCTGACATACTGCAGTCTAACCTCCCTCACCTAGGATGAGGGCAGAGAGGCTCATTTTGCTCAGAATTCCCTTTATGCTTTTGGCTGGCAGGATTCAGGGCACTCAATTAGGCCGTAAGCTACTGCTGCCAAACCAAACACCATAGCCCGGGCATGAGAACAGGGAGTGAGGCCAGGTAAGTACAGATGACCCTATCCCCCCAAAGTGGCGCCCCAGATCCCTTCCATGTGCAGCCACTACCCCCATAGCTGCAGTTCTCCAAGTGGGCCGAGGATCTGACCCCTAAAATCTATTCAAGGGGTTTGTGAGGTCTTGGTCTTTTATTTTGAAGTACAGATCTGCATGAAGCCAGGTATTAAAGATTTACAAAAATGCAAAAACAGTGCTATTCTTCCAATTTTTGGAAAGTTATTTTACATTAAAATGCCATTTGAATTATGTCTAGTGAGTTTTTTTTGTAAATGAATTAATAAAAACTTTAAAAAGTTTGTCTTGATTTTAGTTTCTAATATGTGAAATATTGATACAATTTACTGGGGAAAAAAGCTCTTTGAGGTCCTCAAAATTTTTTACAGATATAAAGTTTTGAGACTGTCTTAGTGTTTCCTAAAGTGTTCCACCAGGCTGGGTGCAGTGACCTACACCTGTAATCCTGACCAAAAGCAGGAGGACTGCTTGAGGCCAGGAATTCAAGATCAGCCTGAGCAACAAAGCAAAACTTGTTTTTACAAAAAACAGAAAAATCAGCCAGGTTTGGTGGCACATGCCTGTAGTCCCAGCTAGTAGGACGTCGAGGCAGGAGGATTGCCTGATGCCCAGGAGTTCCAGATTGCAGTGAGCTGTGATGATCCCACTGCACTCTAGCCCAGGCAACAGAGTGAGACTCTCTTAAAAATAAAGTGTTCCACTGGATATTAAGTATTGCCCAAATAAAAGATTCTGTAGCCAGTTTTGTTTGGAAAACATTGGCTTAAACACAGACTTTTTATTGTATGGATTCTCAGAACCTTCAAAGGACCCGTCTTACTGAGCATTTCTTAGGTTTCTGTGGGACACCTCGGGGCAGAGAGTTATGGAAATGTCTTCCCTGGTGCCACTCCCACCCGTAGGCATCAGTCTAAGTACTATTGGGGATGTACAGGGAGCTTTTTACCTGTTGGCCCTCTTTAGGTCATTAACAAACTCCGCTGACTGCTGATGTCGGATTTCACTGCTCTTAGTGAGTCTTTCCAAGGCGCTCACCAGCTCCTGAACTCTGGCCTTCAACTTCTTTTCTCTGTATCAAGAGAAATAAGATATGCCATAAGCAAGCAGCTTGAGATGATGGTGGCTGCTCCCCTGGAAGTGGTGGCAGAAAGGAGGCGGAGGGGTTAGCATGAAAAGTGAAGGGTGAGAGACGGATACTAAAGGGCTCAGAGCACTGCCGTCCCAAGGATGGATGGATACCTCCTTACCACTGTGTTCTCAAAGGCTTAGTTGAAGGCCCTGCAAAGATTTTAAGTATGTGTCACCAAAGAACATGAGAGGAATTTCTGTTTCTGGTCTTCCAGATAAGGAAACTAAGCTAATCCAGTTATAGAAGTTCCTTTCCGCTATTGGCATCCTCGGCGATGACTGCAGCCTGACTGCAACCCTGTCTCTTGGTCTCCATACCCTCTTCCAAGTGTTTAAGCATCTCCGGACCCACCAGGGATTCAGCAACACAAACTTGTCTGGCCTAGGCTGCCTGCCTTGGGCAGATCCCTACTAACGGGAATGAATAAACCTGGTAGTGGTAGAGGGAGCAGAAGTGATACTCTTGTTTTTTAAAGGTCCTTGTTTCCCATTAAAGTACTTAAGTTATACTTGCACTTTTGACTACCACCCCCTACTCCACAGCTCAAGCAGCTTAAAGTTCCATGGGCTCTTCAGTAACTATTACTAATCGACTTGGAGGAGTCAGTTAAGGGAGGTTTTTCCAGCATTCACTCAGCTTCTTGTCTTCCTCTAATTCCCACAAGACCCAGGCAGGGAAGAAGTCAGCGGGCCTTCCCTGACACCCTGCCTCCCTTCTGAGGTCCCTCTGTCACTGCACTCTGTACTAGAGCTGTTGGGCTCCCCTACTTGTACACCAATTTCTAGAATGGCAAGGACCTTACTTGGTTTGGTTCCTAATGTATCCCCAGCACAGGGGCACCTTGCCCGTGCCTGGGTGATAGCTTCTAGTGAGTGTCAGAACAGCTTCAGAACAACTCACTGAAGGTACTGTGTGTGATTCCTTGGGAAATACTGGGAAACCAGGATTTAGGGAAGGAATTCCTCTAAAAGGGACTCACTGTGAGTGTGAGGAATGTAAGTTAGCATGGTTGGTTTAAAAGGCAATTTGGTAGTATCTAGCAAACATAAGAAATGAACACATCCCTTAAGCAACTTGACTTCTAGGAATTTATCTTGCAGAGATAGCATGAGCACAGGTTCCTAAAGGTACATCAGTTATAGCTGGATTCACTTTGGGATTGGTCACAATCATCAATCGGAAACAACCAGGGCACCCGGTGTATCTGAAACCACCCTTTACTCCGAGTCAACACAGGGGTGGCAAGGCGAGAACTGTGGTAAGGGCTTAGAACTGAAGGCACAGGCCTACCTAAAGATGATAATCAGCCACTGTCCCCTAGTTTGCTTCTCTATAATTGCTATTCTGTAGTCACAGCTGGTGGTCATAAAGATTCTGAACGTTCTCTGCAGATAACATCACCTTTTCAAAACCTACAGGGAGTTTCTGAGATGTCTTCCAGGCCCCATGTTCCAGTGGACTGCCTGACCCACCCAGACTGCGGCCCATACTGAGAAACTGACTCGACTGCATTTGTGACCCCAACCCAGGAACTGACTCAACATAAGAAGATGATTTCTACACCCCTATAATTTGGCCCCAAACCTAACCAGTGGGCAAACTCAGTTACCTAATCTTTTGCCCGCCAAACTCTCTTTAAAAACCCCAACTCTCAAATTCTCAGGGAGGCAGATTTGAGAAATTCTCCTGTCTCTCCAATTATTGCTGTGTGACATTAAACCCTTTCTCCACTGCAACCCTGACTGCCTCAGTATTGGCTCTTCTCTGTGCAGCCAGCAATGCAACCTGGTTGTGTGGCCACATACCCATGCTACTGAAATGCTCTATTTAAGCTTGTAAAAAACGCAGATGGAGATGCACTGGCATGGAAGAGTATCTGTTACATTCAGTGAAAAGGGCGAGTTCTATAGGATATAATTTTTGTAAAAATAACAAAATCAATGTAAATATCTGATATATCAGAAGGCTAATAAACTCAACAGTTAACTTGTGCGAAGATGACAGAAGGCCTTCGTTCCCTACTTGACTCACGTTTTGCACTGCTTGGCATTTTTACAACTTTGTATGCTTTTTGCAAAGTATGCGAGTTGGGAGTCCTCTAGGAGGGGGATGGGAGGGTGACCTCAGGGTGGAAGATGCCCATCAGGTGCCCAGATGGTTTGGACCCTGGTTCTTCCTTCCTGACCTTTTAAATATCTAATATAATTTCTGCCTCTAGCTACTGTGAGGGCAAGCCAAGCTCTCCAAACCGATCAATGAGGATGGGAACTATGACACACAAATCCAGGCCTGTTTTTGTGAGAGAGGACGGAAGAGGACCATCTTTAAGGGAAGCCTGGCAACCAGCTTGCAGTCCAGGACTGGCAGCCCCGAGGGCCAGGGGGAGCCTTCCAGCAGCTCGCCCCTGCTGAGAACGTGCTTCTCCTGGGCTCTAGCAGGCACCCAGAAATTTCCTCAGATCTGGCTGCATTTCTGACTGGAATCTGCAAGTGGCAGCATTTCCTACCTGAAGTGAGAATGGTTTGTGGCAGGAGGGCGGCTCCCATCCTCTCGGCCTCCAGAGGGGAGGCTGGGAGAGCTCCAAGGAGTCCCCCTTCCCTCTGGCTAAACTGTCCTACATTCTGTTACTGTTTAGATTCCTTTCTCTTTCATTCTAATGCTGACAGCAAAAGGAAAGCAGAAAACTGTGAAGACAAAAATGTTAGCCATGAACTCAATATGAAATTCACAACAAAAAACTTGACTCAGAGTAATACCATCCCTGCCTCCCAGTCACATCCACCCCGGCAGGGAGGGGATGGACATCCCAGGCCTACCACAAAACAAAGCGCTTCTTTCCCCAGCGCCTAGGCCTCTGGGGGACTTTGAGAACCTGGCAAGATCCAGAGGGGGGAGAGACGCCCAGGGGGGGCAGGAGAGGCGCTCGCAGACCCTGCCCAACCTCACTGTGGAGTGGGTGGGGAGTAGCCATTGCTGGGGGCTCAGAATAGCCCCCAGGAACTGCCCTGGCCTCAGGAAGGGAGAGGGAGTGAACTGCGGGTAGAACCTCTAGGATTAAAAGCTTAAAATTTGTACCCCCATAATATGCTGAAATAAAAAAAAAAAAGAGCTAATCATAGCATCAGCTCATTTATTTAAAGATACAAAGACAGGCCACACCTCAACCCCAAATGTTAATTCGGGTTACTTCCCCTGTTTCATCTGAGCAAGGCAAATAACAGCAAGAGGGTGATGACTTCAGCATCACTCTTCTGGGCTCCAAGAAATGCTAAACTGCTGCTAAGTAACACCTCCTCCAGACCTGCGTGTTCAGTACGGCAGCTACTGCTGCACAGGTGGCTAGTCGAGCACTTGGAATGGAGACATGCTGTAAGTATAAAATGCACTTTGGGGGCCGGTGCCGGGTGCCACGGCTCACACCTGTAATCCTAGCACTCTGGGAGGCCGAGGTGGGGAGGATCGCTCAAGGTCAGGAGTTGGAAACCAGCCTGAGCAAGAGCAAGACCCCGTTCTCTACTAAAAAATAGAAATAATTTAATTGACCAACTAAAAATATATAGAAAAAAATTAGCCGGGCCTAGTGGCGCATGCCTGTAGTCCCAGCTACTCGGGAGGCTGAGGCAGAAGGATTGCTTGAACCCAGGAATTTGAGGTTGCTGTGAGCTAGCCCGATATGCCACGGCACTCTAGCCTAGGTGACAGAGTGAGACTCTGTCTCAAAAAAAAAAAAAAAAAAAAAAAAAAAAGCACTCTGGGATTTGAAGACAATAACACAAAAGTAAAGTTTCTAGTTAATAATTTTTAAAATATTGATTATATGTTGAGATATTATGGATGCATTTGTAACTGTTATTAAAGCTAATTTCATGTGTTTCTTTTCACATTTCTTAATGTGGTTACTAGAATATTTAAAATTACATATGTACCTTGCATCTGTGGCTCACATTATATTACTAGGTGGCAGTGCTGCTCTACAGCAATTGTTTAAAGCAGTGGGCCCTAGCCTTTTTGGCACCTGGGACCGTTTTCATGGAAGATAATTTTTCCACGATGGGGGCAGAATAGGGAAAGGGGATGGTTTCGGGATGATCCAAGGGCATTACATTTATTGTGCACTTTATTTATATATTATATGATTATAAATTATTATCACATTGTAATATATAATGAAATAATTATACAACTCACCGTAGGTTGGGGAGCCCAGGTTTAAAGTAATATTACCAGGTCTTTCCCCTGGATTCTATTTAGTGGGTTTGGGTTGAGATCCAGGAATTGTAGTTTAACAAGTACCCCCACTGCCTCTTCTTACCAGGTGACTCTGGAAAAGCAGACGACTTACTCACCTGGGTCTGAGGATGAGCTGCATGTGCTCTCGGAACCAACTCCCTGAATTTATATGCAGGATCACATGCGTGGGGCGCACTTTCCTAATGTTCACAGCTTTCCTCAGATCCTCGAAGGATAACTTGGAAAAAAATGCTAGAACCACAGCTTGCTAATCCAAGTCACTTTGAAACCTCAACCATTCATGTCCTGTTCCTTCTAGTTCCTAATTTAAATTTGCTTGGCCTTCAGTAAAGAATTTACAGGGTTTGTGTTACATAAAGACAGTAAGGCCCAGAATGAGCACTTTCTTAAGCTTCCCATAGCAGAGAAAGTAAAAATGGAACACTATGTGTTCCAGATGCCCCCTCGATAGTAATAAATTCTAGAATGGCCAGAACTGCATAATCTATTCCTTATTCTTTTATTCCTTGTGGCAAAGGAACTCACGAATTTACAGCTATATCATCAAGTAAAAACAATGCTGGGTTACAGCAGGGCTATGAAAACCCAAGTCGCCCGTACACACATGTTATTTCAGTATTTCAGTCCTCCCACCCCAGCATGTGCAGCTCCTAAGCAATGGTGAGGGCTATTTCTGGTCACAGAAGGGC